GCACCTTCTTTTCTTCGTGGCACTTACCTCAGTGTGCAGTTACACATTAGGGTCAACGCTCGTTGAATTGAGCCGAATTCCTGGCCCAGGGCCAGAGCAGTACAGTGTGTGACTAGAAGTTTCGAGCTCTCAGGGGCCTCACTGGCTTCCCCTGGCACTTGTGTTGGAAGGGCTGGAGGAAAACTAAGAGGCTAGGGTTCTGCAAGGAGGTCAGCGGCAGGTCAGAGAGGAGGTTGACAGAGTTGCAATGTCAAGGCCTCCGCCCCACCCCCGCCCCCTGGGATGGCCCCTGAATGCATAAAGGTCACGCGTTCTGCTCCCTGTCCCTGCTCCTAAGAGCACAGATTATTTATTTTGGAGTTGAAACTGTGTCTTCCCCCTCAACCCCAACCCCCACCCTTCAAGGTGGCCCTTAGAGGAGGAACACCTGTCACCTCCCACTGTGCCAGCAGAGACTGGGGGCGGGGTCTGGTCTGAACCTCTTCCCTTGAAAGAATTCGGATCGTGTGGGTGCAGATTCCAAACCTTAGAAGCTTTTAAAATATATCCTCTGTTCAGAGGAACAACTGAGGCCGCTACGGCCTTGTTCAGAGTGTCCTGAGCCGCCCTTCCTAAGGCCGAAGGGTTTGTAGCACTTCGTCAGTTGTCGTGTGCTCTTCCCTTCATTATCTCATCTTGCTGGGTATCTTGAGAGGACGTTGTTCGGGGAACGATTGAGGCTCTTGCACTAACAACTGGGTGGCCAGAGTAACCCTCAGGGTGGAGGAGCCTTAAAAAACCTAAGGAACTTATTCACACGGGAGAGTTAAACTCTCTTTGTCCATCCATCCCTCCATCCCTCCAGCCAAACGTCCACTTTTTTTTAAAAATTTTTTTTAACGTTTATTTATTTTTGAGACAGAGAGAGACAGAGCATGAACAGGGGAGGGGCAGAGAGAGAGGGAGACACAGAATCTGAAACAGGCTCCAGGCTCTGAGCTGCCAGCACAGAGCCCGACGTGGGGCTCGAACTCACGGACCGTGAGATCATGACCTGAGCCGAAGTCGGACGCTTAACCGATCAAGCTACCCAGGTGCCCTGAAACATCCACTTTTCTATTGAGCCATTGACTGATCCATCTACTATCATCCAAATATCTACTCTTCCATCAATTGATCAATGCACCCATTGATTAATCCATCCACCCATCCATGCATCCATCCATCCACCCATACACCCATACATCCATCCATGCATCCATCCACCCATCCACCCATGCATGCATGCATCCATCCATGAATCCATCCACCCATCCGTGCATCGATCCACCCATCCATGCATCTATCCATGCATCCATGCATCCATCCGTCCATCCATGCATCCATCAATCCATGCACCCAACCCATCCACCCATCTGTGCATCCATCCACCTATCCGTGCATCCATCCACCTATCCATGCATCCATCCATTGATCCATCCACCCATCCATGGATCCATGCATCCATCCATGCATTCATCCACCCATCCATCCATGCATGCATCCATCCATCCATGCATGCATCCATCCATCCACCCATCCATGCATCCACCCATGCATCCATCCATCCATCCATCCATCCATCCACCCATCCATGCATCTATCCATCCATGCATCCATCCATCCACCCATACACCCATCCATCCATC